TACTGTGAGTGCCAGGAAGTTCTTACTGTATTTGAAGACGTCAGATGCCAAAGTGACTACCCTCTCTCCCTCTCGCAGGGACATGCATCCTTGAGCTGTGCTGGCAGTTCGCGCCCCTCGGGCTCGCAAAGCAAGAGTACTTGAACTTCCCCTGTCAGTTCTTGCGCGGGTTAGCCACCAATTGGAAGCTAGTTGTTTGGCCACCAACTCTAGGGAATCAGAGGAAGAACATTATTAGGACCATTTGGGCCCCACCCAGGCCCTTTCTGCTGCTGCTGCAAGCCCTTGCTGCCTTAGGCGCCGGAAGCCCAGTTGGGGGTTCCTCAACTCAGACACTGCCTGCTAGATGGGGTCTCAAGGGAACACAATGGGAAAAACCCTGTATTGCGTATTGGCCAGTTTCTTTGAAGGGGGGGGGGCAGGTTTTTGGGGTGTCCGTTGAGTTTGGAAGCGTCCAACTTGGGCCTGAGTCTGAGTTGGGTTGAGTTGAACTCTTAAGAAGCGAAAGCCAAGAACCGGGCCCTGGTCACAAACAATAAGAACATGGAACCAACCCCCCCACACCAATCTCAGAAAGCCTTCAGAAGTTGGCGAAGACGTTGTCAGAGCTTCACCTCCCTCCCCCGTTTGTCTAGGTCTACTTTCTGGACGCCTTGTCACTGGAGCGCCTGGGTCAGGCGGCTTGGATGGGCCATGTTACACATATCAAGATGTTGAGGCCTGTTGGGTGGCTGCTGTAGCAGCTAAATCCTGTCACTAGGTTCCAGGAAAGACAACATTACGGGGCCATGAGATCCAGAGAACCCACCAGGAAAGACCCAGGAAAAGACCCATTAGGCTAGGTTCCAGAAAACCCACGAGATCCCCCACTCTTCCGACCACATTAGGGCCCCTCTACCCCCAAAAGCTGGCCAGGTCACTCTGTCCCTGGTGACGGGGACTGGGGCAGCATTGCTGCTCAGCTTCGGCAATCGGTGTGGAATCCAAGGCTATGCCATGCTGAATGGCCATTTTCTTGAGTAAGGAATCGGTAGGGGTTTTGGGAATGGACCAATGTTTCCGCTTCCAGCAAGTTTGGGGCGTGCTTGAGAATTGTGCAAAACGCAGATCAATAGAGGTGCACTAGGGAGATTACCTCGGGATATGGGGAGTTCCATGATGCCAGGGATTGTGCACCATAGATCAGAATAGGTTTACTGTAGACCAGCGCCGCCAATCGACGGGTTTCACTGGTTCAGTTCATTTAGCCACCTAGGGGCAATGATTTCTTACCTGGTTGTGGGTAGCAGTAGATTCCTTTGACACCTGGACAGAACTTCGTAGTGTGTGTGTGTGTGTTAAGCGTGTTTAGCTTGTGCCTTGTGCTGAAAGTGCTGCTTGCAGCTTCCACACACAATGGGCACAAGGCTTTTGTTGGTTGGCAGGCCCTTGGTAATTTTGCGAGGGTCCTGGCTTTTGGTTTAAGGCTTCTTGGTGCTTCAGCATAGCTCTGCTATTGATACTTTCCGCCACAGGCTTGGCGAGGTGGGTTTCGTTGAGAGACCTCATGTTTCTTTGGCGCAGCGATTGAAATCGCGCTGAGGATGCTGCTTTGTTCTCCTTTCCTGGCTCTTGCCAGCAGTATTTACGCCGGGACCCTTGGATTGGCAGGGGGCTTGCGAGCATTCCTTGCTGAATGGTATGCAATCCGAATGAGAAGATAGCCATGCGGTGTATATTTTTTCGGGTAGGGAACAGAAACTGAACATCTGATTTTTGGAGTACAGCTGTCGGCCAAGATCAGCAAGCCAGGGCTGGTCACCCTTGTACCCAAAGAGCAGTGCTTAAAGCCCCTGTGGAATTCGGAATATTGTTTGGAGGCTTCACCTGGTTTGGTAACTATGGCCATCAAGCCTGAGGCCTCATGCTGGGCGCAAAAAGCAAACTCCTTTGGTCGCTTGGATTGAGGTGGTTTGCTGGCTGCCCTGGTCCGGCTTTTTGAGGCGGGCAAATTGAGCTGGATGAGGTTTGTTTGGGAGATTTCCCGATTTGCAGTTGAGAGTCGTCCGAGAGGTCCTTGTATTGAATTTTGAAGGGGAAGACCTTTTGGTATTAGCATTGACCTCCGCGAAACTTCGCGAACCATCAGTTTGGGAATTCGAGTAATTTGCCCAGATATTTGTCTCCGTGCAGAGCCTTGATGACTTTTGCGTCAGCCGGGGACCCAGGACCATCCTTTGTACGGCTTTCTGACAATGAGAACGGAAAGACGCTTAGCTGCGAAGCGATCGCGGGGATTTGCTGCCAACGCGACCAGGCTATCACTTTCAAGCATGAGATCAGCGAGTGGGGATGCGAATCAACCACTTGGCTATCCACTTCCAAAGGAGAACCTTGGCGAAAGGCCAAAGGAGGTGAAGCCGGAGCTCAAGAGGAATCCTCGACCAATGATGTGCCCATGAAATCCGAGAATCCATGTGGTAATTTGTACCCACATTGACCCTCCGAATGGGTCAAATGTGGGTAAACAACACATACATGCATTGTCTGGGGATGTGGCCCTTAATTTAGTTCAGAACTGAATTGAATTTGAAATGACGTTCTCCATTTCGGGGCAGGATATCACAATAGTATATTTCAGGAACCAGAGCCACCCTGCCGGTCGAATGAGCAAGTTCCGAGCTTGAGCGTAGCAACCTAAGATCAAAACAGAATGATTTCAGAGAGATGGCTCCACAGGAGTCCTTCCTAGGTTAGTTTGGTTGAGCATCGATGGCTCTGGTTTCAGGTTGGTTCTAATCATCTGCCGTTGCCATCCTTTTTTTTCCACTCGTCCAACCGAGTCGGCAGCTCACAGTTGCCAAACAGGCTCCCTTTGTCAGACTTCCCCCACCTTTGTGCCCTACGTTTCCTTGGTTTCTTGCCGGCAGTGAGAGTTTGTTTTCTGCAGGGTCTAAATTATTTTGCACAAACATAACGACACAATTATTAAGCAAAAGCCAAGAAACCAAAACAATTTGGCCAAGCTGGGTCTTGGTCGTCTTGCGCCATGGGAAGGTCGCAGCTGGTTTTTTTGGGGGATCCCAACCTTCCGAAGAAGAACGTCGCAGGCCAAACTCTGTGCTGCATCACCTCGTGGCCCCGCTGGCTTTGGTTTTTGGCTTGGCCCGCAGATTGGTTACGCAGTGTCAAGTTTCCTCCCATGGTGGCCTTATATCACATATTATATATATATATATTATATGTACAATGTATACATATATATATATATACATATATATATATATACATACGTATACATATATATCATACATATTATGTATCATGTATATATACACCACCTTTTGGGTCAATTTAAAGTGAGCTTACTTTTGGGGTGATGTTCACAGAGGAATATCGCGAGACCTCTTATACGGCAGGTTACCGACCAAATAATTTGGATTTACTAGGATTATGTTCAAAGCAGATGGCACAATCCCCCCAGCTAAGCTTATCGTCCTCCTTACTTGTGGGCAAGGCGCTTGTCCCATCTACAATCTACTTTCACCCTTTGCAACCTTTTGTGGGCCCCTGGAAAGACTTGAGATTGGAGGGGACCCTTTTGGAATTGGAGTTTGTCCAACCTGGTTGTCCATTTTCTTGCTGGTGCGACAAGTAAGGAATGAGACATGGAATGAACCTGGGGATCCCCGGACAAAGGAGACCACCAGTTGGATGGTGTTTCTTGGGGTTCCATTTCTCATTCCCAGCCTATCGCACCAGGTGTTGGTCGCAGAGTCATCGTTGAATGGCGTATCCGCAAAGGGCGGGAGGGATGTCTCTGTGATTGATGTCATGCAAATCTGACGGTTTCTGGTGAGTAGCACAAAGCCTATTCTTTCTGCAGCAACAATTGCAATCATCAAGCACTTGATGGTCACAACATGAATGTGGACATTTGATATCTGGTTCCCCTGTACGTTCAAGACTAAAGGGCCAACATGCAAGATATCACCGTCATGGTTCCTGTTGCCAATAAAAGTATTGAGCCAACCGCCGACATCAAGGAATCCTTTTTACACGTCCTACTGACTTGATTGACTCACTGCCCTCGCCCAGTTTGCGCGAGTACGAGCCATTGGCCCAACTCTAGGCAGATTCTTTGAACTGTTGACGAACTTAATCACACGTGGCTGGAACAGCTTCGATCAGCACTAAGGTAGGCTGAGAAGAACCTAGCAAAGCAGCCGCAGAATATATGACAGCACCCTTTGCAACCAGTGAAGCTCAGTCAGTTGCCCCCCGAACTAAATGTAGCGCAAGCCTCTACTTTTTGTGTGTACAGAGGCAATATGTTGGTTGTGATAGTCCGTGGCAATCTACACAGGCGCTAGTTTTGGAGTTGCACAATTGCGCAAAGGCGTCACGAGCTTGGTTGAGTTCTTCTCAACCTGGGGTCTCTTTTGGTTTGTTGAAACCATCTCAAAAAGGGAACGGACCTCCCGTCGTACGCTGCTTCGCGCGAGAGCGCAAGCCGCGAGCGCCATGTCGGATCAGCCGCTCCTGGATGAGGCCGAGCGGGTCCGATGGCCTGGGAATCTCGCGAGATGTGGCCATGGGCCAAAATCCAAATCGTACCCCCAGTGAACATCCCAAAGTCCTTTCAAATCAAACAGTGCACCTAGCCCAAAATGGCACCATTGGTTTTGACCGGCCATGTGGAGGTCTGCGGACAGTAAATATTGCTGCTGAAACGATACTGTGGATGGACGAGATCCATTTCGCACCACCTAAGAAGCCTTGGAATGATGATTCCCCCTGTAAATACCAACAAAACAGTGGTTTCCTGTGGTTTCAAAGTGGCAGGATTTCGTCCATCCACAGTGTACTCTCCCTCCAACAATCATGGAAGTGGTAGGGTTCCCCAAAAGGCAGCTTCCATTGTTGGAGGGAGGGTATACACACCAAGCGATGTGAAACAGACACAAGATATAAGCCTTGGGTTTGAGGCCGAGGTAGTCAGGATGGGACTGATACAAGAAATGGCGGTGCGTTGCGATGCGTGTTTTGATGCCTGAACGACAACGAGGCTACAACCATAGTGTAAGTTTGCACCCTTTCATCCGAACGACAAGCTTGATGGGGATCTCCTTGCCCATCAAGTGATCGCACAAAACAGGCGGTCCCTCGATATGAGTATGTTCGGTTTTCTGGTGGCCCAGTTGCCCCCATCCGCTCCACGTCCCGTTTTGGGGTAGTTTCTTCCATTTGAAATGAATCTGCTTTAGTTTCTCCTATGTTTAAAGGGAATCTATCTCTACCAGATATGTTTGTTTGCTTAGGGGACGAAAACGCAGAAGGAGGGTGTGACTGGACATATTTTCTCGTTTTCTTGCTACCCCGAGATATACCATCCAACTGATGGTTTCCCTTTATTCGGGAATCCCCAGGTTCATTATATTTCTCATTCCCTACTTCTCTCACCAGCAAGAACATGTCCAATTCCAAAAGGGTCCTCTCCTGTTTTAAGTCTTTTCAGGGGCCCAAAAGGTTGCAACGGGTGAAAGTAGATGGCACAATCGCCTTGCCCACAAGTAAAGAGGACGATACACCTACCTGGGTTAATTGTGCCATCTGCTTTGTTCAAAGCTAGAATCCTCGTAAATCCAAGTTATTTGGTCAGTAACCTGCCGTATACGAGGTTTTCCGATATTCCTCTGTGAACATCACCCCAAAAATATAGCCATTTCCTTTATTCGGGAATCCCCAGGTTCATTCCATTTCTCGTTCCCTGCTGAGTACCAGCATCTTCTTTCCACAACGACGACCGGCGGTTTGCGGTTTGCGAGCCTCACAGGAGCTGAGCCGGGACGAGCTCGGCGTGGGGAAGCCGGCCGCGGAGCTTCTGCTGCAAGGCCGCGTGGAGTGTCTCACGTCTCGCGCTGCGGTGGGTGGCTTGAAATAGAGGAACCTCTGGATGATACAATATGGCTATGGGTCAACACCAATGGTACTATTTCGGGGTAGGTGCCCCACCCATTTTAGTTTATTTCAGTGGGGATTGGCATGTTCATTGGGGGTACGGGATTCTGACCCATGGCCATACGTATACAATATATACATGTGTAGTCATAATGTATGTATCTCTCTATTTGAGCATATATATATATATATATACATATGATGCAAAACCGGGGGGGGGGGGGTTCTTGAACTTGGATGCGGGCTGAGGGAGAAATTGCACAGTTGCCTCAGAGTATGAATTGATCCCAGCCTGGTGATGGGCAACTGGGGAAGGGCTCCTTTGAACCAAGCCGACAAAATAGAGCTGGCCTGAAATAGTAACAGGCCTGTTTCCCTATGTCCATAAAGCTAGTGAGTTGTTGCACACACTGGCCACCCTTGACTTGTGTGCTTTGAGTGGCTGCGACGATCCACCAACTCACTTGTCTCTCTCCTCAGGCAAGTCGGAGGGACATCACATTTGCAAATCCATAGACATGCTGGTCACATGCTGGAGAGCCGCTTTGTGTTGGGTTTCCCCTCAAAACCCATTCAAAAAGCTGCTTGCATTTGAGGAAGCGCCCCCTGGACCAAATATGAAGCTTGTTGAATTCGTTCACAAGCACGCACGCCAGCCAGCCAGCCCGCCCGCCAGCCCGTTAGCCAGCCACCGTCCTGCAGGCTGGAAGGAGAGGCGTCAAGTGGAAGCGCTGCAGAAGATGATGCTGCCGCTTGCAGCAAGAGTTCCCTTTGATGGTCCCCCAGTGCCCTTTCTCACCCCGTTTTTGGTTGGGAGGGTAAAGCCCTACTAAAACAGACTACAGAAAAAAGTTGGTGCCCTTATTCTAACCTGTCTACTGGAGGACCTAGCCTTTGTGGATGGGGGGAAAATTGAGGGGAGCCGTGTCTTTCCCAGTGTTCCTTCTGGACCTTCCCCGAGCCACATGTTTTGTGTGTGTGTGTGTCGGTGTGTCGGTGGCATTTGGGCGCGTTTGTCGTTTGGACTGATATTCCGGTGGTAGTTGCCCGGAGGGAGGGGGGGGTTGAGCTGAAATACGGTTTGCTGGCAGCTTGCATTTTTGCGCTTTATGCAAACGCTGATGGTTGAACATATTTGAATCGGAGGTTTGGGGTTGAACTTTGTGAGTGGGCCCTTTTCTCCACCCTTTCTTCCTGCCACATCCCGTCATGACTGCCCGAGGAAGTGGTTCCCCACTGGCATCCGCATCCGCTTGAACAAGGCATCGCCGCACAGTGCACCTAGTGACTCGCTGGGAGGATTCGTCTCAAATCAGACCCGGGTCTCAAAGCGGTTGGTTTACCTTTGGCTTTCCCCCCCAAAATACAATGTATCATTGAATTCGCTTTGAGTTGCATTTGGTTTCCCTTTACATCACCCCAAAAAGCGTATTATTCCTAAGAAAGACTCGCCCAGTTGGGCAGTGACTGGCGACTTGTGACTTCATAGGTCCATATTCCCAGCTAGGTGTTCGTTTCAACACGAGGTGGATTCCAACAGATTGACGTTGTTTCCTTGTC